TCCAAGTCACAGATGTAAGTGCAATATAGTTTATAAGAACCTATTAAGAAGTTTACTTTACAGACTAGCTACAGAGACAAAAAGATTCAGAATTGCTTACACATTCATACTCACCAGCGGTAAATGTTTTATAGAAGCCAGATATTGCAGTAAGCCTTTGGCATGGTAAATTGTGGGATGCAGATCTGGATTTGGATTTTGCCACTGTCTGTTTAAATCCTCTCCACTTAAAGAGCAACGGTGGCTATTTGGGGGAAGGAAAAAAATGCATAAAGATGTGTTTGCACCATCATGACAGTTTTGAAAAACTTGCTCTCCCCTAATTCAAGTTTCCTTTATCACTTGTTCAGCTTTTTTTGGTTAAAGCAGCTGCGCTCTCACATAACAATCTACACCTGCCCAAGACTGAAGTTCAGAGTGTCAATTAGAGTGCAATTGCAAATTATCTCCCTTAAACGACTGAAAATACATTTTTACAATGTGAATTCATGGCACAGTATTTCTGCATTTAAAAAGACAAAAAAGCCTCAGAAAATAAATCCTAGCAGTTTTGTAAGGAACTTTTTTTTATATTTGAGTATTGCACTTGTATGTTTTTAGGATTAGTTTAGAGGTTTTGGTTTTTTTTAAACAACATAAAGATTTAGTATTAACGTTTGTGAGTAAACTTAAGCTTACTTTCCATTGATGACACCATCTGGATTGAGCATGGGAATAATTTTGAAAATATAAGCTTCTCGTAAGCTTTGGGCACTTGGATTATTGCTCATAAGATATTCCAGTGTTCCCTTCATAACCCAGCTTGCATTCGTCTCTCCCGGATGTACACGAGCAGATAGGAAAATATAAGGACGATTCCCTAAAAGGAGCATAAAAGTCGCAAAATATGATTCAAGCTAGTTCAACAGTTTGTTTACAGAAAGGACAGGCAATAGCCAGTTTCGATTAGTAAAATACAGAGTACAGTATTTTGGGTTTTCTGCTTTTTTGGTTTTTTCGGTGCATTCACACAAACGCAGCACTCTTGATAGAACTCGCCAGAACATTTTTATAAGGGCAGCTAATTACACAAGTATCTCAATAGAATTTTAATTCCATCTGAAGCAATTACATGACTGTAACCAGCTCAAGATGGCAATTACAGTGTGATATACTTCTATGGTTCTTTTTCAATAGACTAGAAAATACTGGGGAGGAGCAACAAGAATGCTCTTACAACGAAAGCACGCTTCAAATCCCAGCAGCTAGGACGTTCTATGAAAGATTTTTTGACAAGCTGATTTCCTGAGCTTTAGGGGAAAAAAGTTACTCAAAAGTCAGTTTTTCCCCCCCTCCAAGAAGCATTATCAGCAAAATGTAACATACAGAAATATCTGGCAACTGATTTGATACTTAAAAGCAAATTCAGATATAAATACCCATACTCTTCCTTGACTACTACAAATACATATTTTTTAAAAAGAAAGGAAATCCTGAATATCAGCACCTTCTAATCTCATAAAATTCATTAACCTTATTCTACATTGCTATGCTTACAACGCAGACCAGCTGACAGAATAAAAGTTTTTCATAAAGAGCTGGTTTTGCTTTATTTTCCGTAGATGAGAAAGAGAAGGCATACTTACTGAACTGACAGATATGTTCATAGTAATTTGACTCTGGCATGGCTGTAATAGTGACTAACGGGCAACTGTTGCCAGCCAGGGTCTCACAGAGAACATCTTGCCGAAAATATATCTGTTGAGGGTTGTGCATGGATTCCAGTTTCTGTAGATGCATCTTCATCCCAAAAATAATGGAAAGAAACTTCAAATCTTTTGCCATCATGTAAAACAGTGTATTCTGCAGGTGTTCTTTATTCCATCTTTTTGTTTTTCTGAATAATGCTAAAGCTTCCACCGTAATTTTGACCATGACATATCATTCTCTACATCCCTAGCCAACTGAATTCTTCTCTTTATATGTTTTAAAACTGCTCCAAGGAAGACGAAAAGTGAGAAGGATGAAAGTTTCTTCACTTTCTACTAGACGATACTTCTTCTAAGAGGTTAGTAAATTACCAAATTGCTTAGTAAATAGCTTCATCCAACACTGACATACACTAGCTGCTGAATCCCCAAGTATGCTTTTGTTACTATGACAAAAACAACCGCCACACAGTCTATTCAAATGCTTTCCTTAGTACTAAATGGTTCACAACACTCCTTTCAGCTAATTCATTATACTAAAAATGTCTGTCTAATTATCTTAAATATAATAGCTTTAATAGGTCAGTTATGAACCTGTGTATGTACATCAGCAGGATAAGAGTCATTTGACTCGGGCAAAAATACTTCGTTCAATTCCCACAGAATTTTCCAGTCAATTACGATATAGTTGTGATTCCTAGAAAACACCAGCCATACCATTTATCTTATCATTTTGTTACCCAGGAACCGTTCTTTAGTACAAGCCACACCCTGTGCCC